CTCAGCGAATCACAAGTTCGGCAAATGTTGTTCGACCTCGAAACTGCCTATGCCGCATTCAATAATCTTCTTCACAGTACATAGATTTTTTAAGAAAATGTTCACTATCATATTCGCAAGCGGAAACATTTATTTCTTTTCTTTTTTGGCAAGCCACGATTCACAACTGCAATTATTCTATTTTCTACTGAATAAATTAACAAAAAAAATATTTCCTAACACATATTTTCTTTATTCACGCCAAAATTTACTACTATACATTTTATTGTCATTATGTTTACATTGGAATTGATATTTTCTATTTGCAAGTCTTTTGTTTTGATCAGGAATTCGTAATTTAGCAATAATAATTCAAAACACCCGCATCACAGTCAAGTCAAATGTGAATAATGTGAATAATGATTTCTATGAACAGTGACACAAACCCAACTATACAAAGATGGTCGACTGAGTATATTTAAATGGATGAAACGAAAGATCAAGAAAGGATATTATCAAACTATCCTTTTTTTCACTTGTCTTATTTTCTGCTGTTATTTTTATCGTTGTATGATCTGACGCCCGTTGCAGCATACGCTGGTTATTTTGATGAGCATTTGCTTGGGTTTGATCAATATCCGCCATAACCCGAGCTGTATGCATTGGATTGAACGAACGAAGAATCACTGTGGAACAAAAACACTTTACAAAAAAAGAACGAACGAAAAAAAAACAACAATCGAAATGACATTTTACCTGACATCATCCATTGAGCTGTTGTTTCCTTCCGATGCCGACATACATGGTGCATTCGTTACACCACTTGAATTACTGACACTAGATTGCATTTGGTTCAGATCCACCTGTGTCGTGACATGGGTACCATGTGGAAACGACAAATACTGGGAACTGTTTTGTTGTTGTGTGTTGATGTGATTTGGATCGTTGTGACCTCCTGGCGGCATATCCAACAGCTGATGCATGCTCGCATTTGGATTTGTGTTTGCGCTATCTCCAGATGTGGATGTGGAAGGAGGCTTGTCCAAAAAATATTTCACTCCTCTTGGTCCATGTGTACGATACCATCCAACAAGCTCATTTTCAGATTTCGATAGTCGAATACAATTGGGACAATGTTCACAGTCCGATAGGAGTAAATTTGGTCGTGGTTGGTAATTTTGGTTGATTTTTGCTATTGCCCCCAGAATGCCACCTCTATCAAAAGAAAAATAAAAAAAATTGTATCATTGCTACCGAAAATTCCATGTCGAAACATACCGTTTGTTGTTCATTTCGTTCAAATGGAGAATGGTCAATGTTGACAAACGATTCAATCTATCTCTTTTCGCTGGACTAATCGGCCCATGAATTGCCTTGATAGCTCGACTGAAAGAAATATATATTTTTGAGACAGTTGAATTGAATCGAACGATTTTGTACGACATACAGGACTTCGTATCGTGCGACACCAAAATAATACCCAACGCTAACAAGGAGATCGTAAATGGCGACGGAACTGGAAGATGTTTTTGTTTTATTTTTCCTTGGAGTCCATGTCATGCTGCCTAAGTTCTCAATCGGTTCCGTATTCTCCAATTTTTCGCCTAAATCTTTCGTCTTCTCAATCGAAAGACTGAAAAAAAAATCAAAATGAAAAATGAACATTTTGCATTTCAAAATATACAAATTTTACCGAATTTTTTCCAATGTTCCAACCGTAGAATCCATCGCATTTAAGAAGCGTATTAATTTGTCCAAATTTGGTTGTTTTCCGGGGCTAAAAGATATCAAAGATATCAAATAAATCTAATCGAATCGTTTGTTCATGCAACTTACTCCGCAATTTCAACAAAGATTTCTCCATTAAAATCGGCAATTTTGCGGCCCAAGTCAGATGAAGAATTTGAGATGGGCGAATCACCTGAAGCTGGCAAATTTCCTTGCTTTTTCTTTGGAGTTCGCTGGGTTGAAGATGTGTCCAGGGTTTCACTCCCGGAATTGGACGGAGTCGAAGACATTGTTCAATAAAATTTGTGCGCTTGAAATATTTTTTCTCCCACTTTAACACAAAACAAGTGTAATATTAAAGACGCTATTGGGCTGTCAGATGATTTGGTTGACAGAAGAATTTTCGGTGTACCCGATGCAATAATGTAAGTTAAAAAGAAGTTACGGATTGTTTGTAAAATGAAATCTATTGGTAAAAAATTTCTGAATTATTGAATTCAAATGTTGATTTTTGAGAAATGTTTGAAAATTCAATTAGATTATTCACAATTGAAGAGCCAGCTCACAAAATCTGACAAACATTATAATAAAAAATTTAAAACGAAGACAATTACATCCCATTATGAACAAAGACGACAAAGGTAACACCAGCAAAGAATATGCCATGACCAAACACAATGATATCACACACACAAACATAAGGTGAACTCGCTCTCGCTTGTTATGTGACTTATACACAGTTGCACACGCACGCACACAATCGCAGCGTACGTAGCGATTGGGAAATACCATAGAAAAGGATGACTTATGTACGATTACAGATACCGAATCCATCGATAGGAGGCATTGCTATAAATGAGTGATTTTTACAAAAGGTGGGTTACAGCAATTTGTTGATCCTCGCAAATTCCAAGGCATTTGTCAAGTTCTTATTTCTTCAAACGTATTTTACATCAATCAACGACAAACAGTTGACAATGGATGATTATATTGCTGCTCAATATACATTACCTTAGCCGTGTGAGGCATCATTCTTATCATACGAGAGAAGAAAACAGAGTTCGTCATTTAATCTGTTTAACATGTGTCGATCTGTTCTCCTCTTATTTTTTCCAACTTTTCATTGACTTTCTACTCACACATCGTATCATTTCAAAATTGGATTGTTAAATGCATCAATATGAACAAAAAGGCGACTTAAAATATTTAATAAATTTTTTTATAATTATTCTACGATCGAAATATTTGATTCTTGTCATTATTACTGCTTTGTATTTGTTGTTTCATTTTTTCCGTCCTGTTTTTTAATAAATGTTTATGATATATGTATGTGAAGTACACAATTATCTCGTAAATTGTAGCACTATCAATTGTATTTTTTCGGTTTTGTTCGTTCGTTCGTTTGTTTCGTGGGGGGAAGGAAATCGTGCATAGGCTATGCCTATTGTCTTAATCGCACACCTAAATAGATTATACATCAAAAATGCAAAAACGATTTAGATGCATTTTCGACATCATTTTTATTGTATTGATTTTTCTCATTGTTTGCTGTGTTAGCTAAAAAAAATCGGTTAAATTGTCTCGAATTGTTTTCATTTGGTTTATATTCGAATCGTCCTTAATGGATAGTATAATATCGCCGGTGCTGAGCAGTTCACCGCCGGATTCATTCCATGTACATCTCGAACTCATCTCTCGGTGTGGTGGGGTTTTATGAGGTCAAAATGAACACAAAAAAATCGAATAACTCTACAATTTTATGTTGTGCTATAAAAAATCAAATAACAATCTCTACAATGGACCAATTTGAGAAGAGTAAAAAAAGGTGAACTAAATGGATAATAAAATGCAAACTCAAGTTTCTATTCATTTTTGTTTTCTTCTCTTTGTTCGATTTAATTGTTGTTATGAAAAAAAGAAAAAGAAAATTCTTTTATTAAATTTGTCTAGATTTTGTCACTTTCGCTTATCGAAATATACAGAATTGGGATCCAAAACATAAGTTTGAAATGAAACCGAAATAATAAAAAAAACAAAACACATTTCTCGAATAAGTAATGTTTGCCATAAAACATCCCGGCTTTGTTTCTGTACCTCTCTGTGTATGGATGTGGCTGTGTGTCTCTGTGTATTTAGCTGTGGCCAATATATCTCGTTCAACTTCGACGACCATCGCCGTGGGCCCGAATCATTTCGAGAACAGGGCAGCGCGGGGACAAATAAACAAATTCAAAGGCGTCTCTGCCCCTTTGGTGTGTATGCTATCTCCATACAATATGTGCTCATATTCAAAACAGGTTGTCGGTTGTCGTTTTATTCTATTTGTTTAAATTTCATTTTCTGTTCAATTTTATTTTGCATCATGTTGTTTTTGTTGGTTTTTTTTTTTAATAAATTTCATAATTCAATTTTTATTATAATATAATTTTTTTCTTTTTCATATATGTACTTTTCCACACTTAAACCTTATTCAATTAATTGTTTTTTTTTTATTTAATTTTTTTTTCTTGTTTATTTATTTTTTAGATTATCAATAGCATTTTTCATTTTTCTTCTCGTGTACTGTGGTTAAACTGTTATTTATAATTACTGTGAAAAAATGTCCAGCTCATATCTTGAATTCTTGTTGTTTATTTATTAACTTTTGCATCTCATTCATCATTATACTCAATGTAAATTTTTCTTTTATTAATTTTTTTTAGCTTAATTTCGAAAAAAAAAACTATATCAAGTAAATGTTTTCTCATTAATTCAAGATTTTCTGCAAATTTTTGTTTATCTTGTTCTCATTTTTTACTTTGTTGTTTACTTCATTTTTTTCTCGATTATGTGTGTGTGTGTGTGTGTGTTTGTTGTGTAGGTTTAGATGAATCTTAGTTCTGTGCGGTCCAGTATGATGGAGAATAGCCTTGCTTAGTACTGGATTTACCCTGGCTACTGGCCTGCTGTCTTTGGCCGGCATTATTTGAATCCTGCGATGGAAATAAAAAAAGAAACGTGTAATTAGTGAAAAATGAATTTTGGTTTTGGTTCACATCTTATTTTCTATAGAAATATATGGCATGTTTGTATGGGTATGTGACACATGAAACGAATTTTAGTTTAGTTTGTGATTATTTTTTAACTTTGATTTGTCAGTCATGCTTTTCGGGTATATAAAGAACAATTCTCAATGTTGAGAATTTCTCACTGTGAGAATCGATTCATTTTTTTTTCTTCTCAATTCTTTGGACTTTTTCAAATCTATGAACAATCGACACTGGTTTTAATTTTGGAAATATTCATACATGTATATTTAGACATGAACAAAGGTTTACGAAGAACGAAATAAACGTCATGATTTGCATTACATGTTCGTATTTTCACAAGGAAAACTCATGAGAACTACACATACAGCAAAATACGATGTAATGTTATTCAAACACAGAATACTGGTTTTGGTGTGTTTGTCGAACAAAAGTGTTAATGTCCTAAATTAAATGTGATTAATTAGCAAAGCAGGTTAATGGGGAGGGGGAAAAGTATATGCAAAGCAATAGTGTTTGAAACGCTGAACGATAGACGATTCGATAATAATAATAAAAGAACAAATTCTACATATGGATTGAGAGAAACAGTCTAAATTCCGGGATATAAGAAGAACATTCAAGAACAAGTAAGAGCAATGAACTGTTGCTCTTTCCAATAATAACAATTAGCAAGAAGGAAGAAAAAATCATGCAAAAAAGTTTCTAAATACACGAAAATAAGGAAATGCATGGAAAAATGATAAAATTATAATGAACGGAAAATTTAACGAAAAACCAACAAAAATAAAAAGAAAATAAAAAACCAAAGAACTGACCCTTTTTGTTGAGTTATAGACGCGACCGTCCATCTAAGGATGAACAAAAAAAATGTAAACCAAAAACAATAAACATTTGCATGCAAAATAAAGTATTTTTTTTGTTCGGTTCTTCTGAATTGTATGACATTTTTCATTCTGAATTTGAACATAAACATTGTTTCTAGATTTGCTTGTTTTTGTTTGGTTTCCTTATTCGTAATTTGAAACTTGTATGTGGTTGTTTTTCGAACGGTTTCTAAATATTTTTTCTATTTCTTTCTCCCACTCTCGCTCTAAATCACTTTAAGCTTAACAGTTGACAGTACATTCAAAAACATTTTATTTATGTAAGTTTTCTTCGTATTTCTATTGAATAATAATAACAACAACAACAACAAAAGAAGAAGAGAAGAATCATCGTCCTACTTAAGCAGAGGTAAAAGTGAACATTAGGTGCAAATTCAATACGAACAAAAATGACAAAAAGAGAAACAAAGATTTAAGTGGTCTATAGATAAGAGTAAATTGGTTTTGCTTTAAATAACAAAAAATTGATAGTGCGTAGTAACCAGTCGCAAGGAAAAAAAACACTACGTCTAAATTTCAAGTTACAGCTAACTATTGCATATCAAATAGGTTTAAGCACAATATTTAAATAGGAAATAGAGTAAATAATGTGACCAGATACGAAATACAGAAAAAAAATCAAATAAAAAAACGGATTAAGAACAAGTAGAGAACCATCTCGATTACCATTGTTTGTATGTGTGTCATGCACTGTCAATAGGCAATTTCAAACAATAAACTAAGTTTGCTTATATAATTCAATGTCCCCGCGCTAAACGAACCATTTCAGGCGAATATAGAAACAACAACGACTAAGAGAAACAACAAAAAAAGAAAATCCCTGCTTTGGGTGAATAACATTACACTTGATTGGCTCGAATGCTTTCTCATTTACTTTTCAATGCAAAGCATTTTTATTTGAATTCTTTTTTTCTTCTTTTGATTTGGTCGTTTATAATTGTGTCTCAGTATGTGTGTGTTTGTCTGTGTATATGGTATGTACGTATTACTTCAGCTCCCAAAGATCAACAACATCGTTTGTTACTTGCTTTTTTTCGTCTATCGTTTTATAAACGTAAAATTAATTTGCAATGCTTAAATTACATATCGTCTATATTCGATTGAGCTGAAATGAATTCAATGTGTGTCTTGTGTGTATTTGTGTGTGTGTGTGTGATTTTCTTCGGATAATTTTTCGTTGTTTTTTTTTTACAGAATTCCTTTATTTCGGTCCATTTTGTATCTTCGGCGATTTTGCTTCATGCATTTAAATGCACCGATTTGGTATAAATGATAGGTACTTATTTGTTTTCCCAAAAAAAAAACACTTATTTTCCGACAAAATTTACAATCTCAATGTTTCACTCTGTGTGTGTTTTCTTTCTCATTCGGTTTCATTAAACAAGTTTCAATATTTGCAAACGCCTAAACACGGCTGTTTTCGGAGGCACTTTCGCATCGCCGATTTATTTGGTAGCTTCGTTTCGTTGCTTGGTCTGCGACACATTATTTTATTCAATTTTTTGTTTCTTCTTCTCTGTTTTTAATTTATTTTTGGATTTTATCTGCTTACTAGTATTCTTCATTCATAAATTATTGATTTTTAATGCTCTTTTTCTTTGAGAAAAAAACAAAAATGAAACAAAAGAGGTACGTGTGTGTGTGTCGAAAAATTCGAGGAATTAAAACTATTGCATTAATTTTAAGTGAAAATTATATCAGTTGTCGTTTTAAAAGAAATAATCCTAAAAAAACAATAAAAAAAAGAAAAAAAAAATACGTTTTGATTACTCATTTGAAAATATATCAAATATCCGGAGAAGGGATTTGGTTGAATGAAATTAGCAACTTAAAGTAACGAGAAAAAAAAAAAGAAAAATTAATAGGCAAAAAAACGGGTTCTGTGAGATGTGTGATTGAATCGAAAAATTAAAATCACGAAGATTAAACGAAAAAGAGACTACGACACGAACACGAAATTTTTCTTTGTTCAATTGGCATCAAAACATCGACAGCCTGTCTCACAAGCCAACGAAAGTGATGCAGACAAATAGAAAATTCTTCGTGTCTTGTAAATATATGTGCTTGTACACGCGCATAGCGACAAAGAAATCCTAATCCTTCATGATAGTACATTTTGACTGATAAAAAAAACGCATTTCCAAAGATCGAAAAATATTACAACAACTTTAAGTCAGAATGTTTCTCTTTCACGAAATATAATAAAAACCTTCACCAATTAACAAACTAAAATCGATGTTTGGAAATAAATTGTCCGAAAAAAAATGTAATATTTGATTAAGCATTAATTCACATGCAAATTGGAATTTCAATTATTTTGCAAAAATGCATAAGAACAGGAAAAAACGTGGTTAAAAAGTAAAATGCTACTCTACATGAGATAAATTCGTTCACAGGTAAAGAAAATCAAAAATTCGAACAAGTCAAAATCTGATCAATGGACGAAACGATCTACGCTACAATTTGATAATTTTCATCACAAAAAAAAATATGCTCATAATTAACACGTTTGTCATTCACAAAAATTCATATAATGCTGTATGAGATCTCCCTTTTGCACTTATTCCAACAAATCTTTTTGTGGAAAAATCAATAATCGCGAACATTGTTTGCATTTTCAACTCTGCTCAACAAAATTGATCTCGATGAATACTCGGTTCTCTTATATGGTTTTTTCTTTGTGTGTGTGTGCTAGATTCAGTTCATTGTGATTCTAACTTGAATTTCGATTTCACAGTGATATTCATTAATTCGAAATATCAGCAATTAATCAAAATAATAATTTCAAATCAAAAAAAAAAAAAAATTAAAACAAAAAAAACGAATTTAATTTATGAATGAAACTAAAAGACCGGAGAGAATCTTATGGCTATGAGTTATAACAGAGATTATGGTTTCTCTTCGAGATCGAGAGTACATTAGAATTGGCAATGGCTTACCTGATGAATTTGTTGATGCATGTTCATGTTATGCAGAGCAGCTGGCATAGCTTGAATGTAAAGTTGTTGTGCACCGTATTGAGATGTGGCTCCGGCGGTTTGTCCAAACGGCGGAGGTGTATTACTATGGAACGAACCTTTTTCGTAAGACTAGAAGTAAACAACAAATATGGCATTAGTTGAGTATGAAATTTGTGTTGGGATGAGGTAAATCGAGGTAGGAATTATTTAAGAGGTGTAATGTTCAATTTGAAGGGAAAAAAAACCCAAAATGAACGGTGACTCATGCATTGTACTCACATTG